CTCCCGAACGCTGTAGCGCAGGTTGCGAAAGGCCAGCGCCGGCAGTGGTAATGGTGATAGTGCTGTTTTGGAGGTTGACATTCTTCATAAAAATGGCACAAAAAAGTGGCACAATAGATTACGAAAACTGCCACTGGAAAGGACACTTCATGAGGAGAGTAAAAACAAATAAAAAGCACACATTTAGCAGCCGCTGACATTGCAACTTTGTCATAATGTAAACATCACAAATGTATCTTTTGGGCATTTCTGGGAATTTGGTGGAAAACATATCGTGTTTGCAACAGCAGTTGTTAGCAGGATGCGACACTGTGTTTGCACCGTAATATCCTGCCCATTTCTTGCTAAAAACGATTAGGCGCCTCAAGAGTTGCCGGGAACAGCTTCAATGACACCTACTGACACGTGAATAACAACAGAGAGACGCTGATCAGCAGACACAAGCAACAAAAGCGTACTTTATCGTGCCTCCTTGGCCGCTCAAAGTGGGCCTCTTTTAGCACTTTTAGTGCTAGCACTGAGTTAGTACTTCAGCACTGCTGGAAGTAGAATGAATTAACTTGGGAGCGTTGTGCGGCACAAGTACAACATGTAGAAATGCTAATAAACTTTTGCATCTCTTTCTCGTTACTTTATTTTTATAAAGATTTTGTTTTTATTTTTGAAAAAACTTCTCCCGCGTAAGTTGTAAAAATGCTACCAAGTTACAATGTGTTTGTACAATATGCTAATTTTTGACATATAACAAAAAGTTATAAAAATGAATTTTGTTTTTTATCCAGTCTCTCCTAACTAGCTTCATTACCATTAATTGCTGTTTGCAAAAGGGAAACTTTTTTCTAATAATAGCACACTACTACTGCTTTTTGTGGTTCTTGAAGACTATCATGAAGACGAGGGAAATGTAGGAGAAGAGCATCTCAAACATCTTCGAGTTGATCTGCTGGCCGGTGACCAGATGGAAGCAGCTCTGAGTGGCCACACTTCGGTGATTGTCCTCCATGCGGTTCACCTTGAGGTGATCGGCCAAACTGAACCCCTTTCTACTTCCGCCCGCTGATTGTCCCATCTTCAGCGCCAGCTGAACCGCTTGTCGGTGCATCCGCCCACTGTGATAGAGAATTCTTGAGCTCTGCCAGGTGACGTAGAGGAGGAGGAGGAGAAACTCGGCGCCGATAAAGTTGAGACACTGCGCCAGCAGCTTCTCCTCAATCACCACAAAGAAAAGAATGAAGGCAAAGTAGCAGATCTCCACGGTGAAGAAGGCAAAGTACACGGTGAGGTACTTGCTCCAGAAACGGTGGTGACCGCCTATCTCACTAAAAAATTCTACCATCTGCAGGTGCAACTGCCCGAAAGTGGCCCACAGCTCGGCAAAAGTCTTTCGTCGGTAGTCGGTTTTTCTTCGCTTTTTCCTTCTCACCTCGGCGGCCAACTTTTGCAGGGCGGCCGTCTTGAAGCGCAGTTTAATGCGCAGGTAGCGGGTGGTGGTGACGCAGAAGTACAGTATCATGATGATGTTGCTGAACTGAACGTAGAAGATGAAGAGCCCGGTGATGACCAGAAGAAGGTAGTCGTGAAAACTTCCTCTCCACTCCTGAAAGAGGCACCAGAAAAGGAGAGTGCTGATGAAAAGCGTGGTGTTCAGCACTGTGACAGCCAGAAAAATGAGCACCTTCTTTCGGTAGGCGTAAATAGCAGTGGACTCCTCCGCCGGCAACGGTTTGCCGTTTTCAATAATCTGCACGCCTTTCTTTTTTCCACCACCATTGTTTTTTGTGTCCACAAAAAGGAACATGACATACTTGCGCTCAAGTGTCCGGTCAAAGAGCAGATTGCCGTAGATGAAGGTCGGGATGATCATCGAAAGGAAGACCATGACGTCGCCCAGTTTCCACACCACCTGCGGCATGATTCGGTGGGAGAAGAGCTCGGGCATGGCCAGTGCCTGGTACTGCCAGCCATTCCGCTGGAAAACGCACACAGAATCGACGACGATGAAGAGCAGTGAGAGCAGAGGCAGAAGGTAGCTGAGGTGGACACCACTGTTTTCAGGTACTTCTTGACGTTTCTTACTGAATCGGATCTCATCGAGAAGCTGTTCTTTGCTTACTCCATAAATGGTCGCATCTTTGACGGGGTCCAAATCGAGGTACAACAGGCGAAAGTGGCTCAGCAATGCGCTCAGTGTGCTTCGAAGCAGCTTTCTGAAGGAAAAGTGTGATAGGAAAATCATTTTTTCTTTTTCAAAATAATCAATTTTATTCAAACAATTTTTAATGTTTTGTAAAAAAAGTGAATCAAATCAAGTTGACATGGCTATAGGTTTTTTGTGGTACAATCGAAATCACAAGTTGTTAGTATTGTGTAAACTAATGATTTGAATTGTGAATAACAAATCTTGAAGTCGTTAAACGCTGATCTTATGACAATTTAATGCAAAATAAAATTACACTTCAAGTCAAAATTGATTTTTGTAAAATTTATTGGCACACAGCGGTTTTTAATTGCCAAATCTCCGTTTTCTTTCAGTATTTTCCAGTCGTTTATAACACGGGTAATTTTTTTCATAATAAAAGAGCACAAGTGTTTCAGTAATCTGTAACAAGTTTGAATAATCGAGCTAAACGACGGTGACTTTTGCTTGCGAATTAATCATGTTCCAAGAACATGTGTCATTTTTGAAAACACAGATTTCACAAGTACAAATGTACAAAATAGTTCACAAAAGCAAAAGAGTGACAAGTTGGTGCATTTGCCAGACTACCTTTTAGGTAAGCTAAAAATCGTTCAGAGGTAACCACAGGTAAGTTTTATGATAATACAAAGAGAGGGAGAAAGAGTGCATAACAAAAAGCCAAAACAAAAGCGCCGCTGCAGAGCACAGCTGAGCAAAAACAGCTGTGCTTGTAACTGTACTTCAAGTGGCTTCAATGAGCTGTGTGCGTGCTTTTGTCCTCGTCTCCTTCTTCGCCTACGGATTGGCTCTAGCGCCTGCCAGGAAGGGCTTATCCTTGAGCTCGGCCAGCTTCGGTCGAGGGCCCGGCGCTCGGGCGCAGGTCTCCTTCACAAAGTCGCGCCCCGGCCCCTCGGGCAGGTTGGCCAGTTCAATGTGGGCGATCTTCTTCTGGCGTGGCTTCTTCCTCATGTCACTGACGGCGGCGTAGAGGAGAAAGCCCAGTGAGTAGACGTCGACGGGCGGCGGGTCGAAGGTCTCCTCGAGGTAGCACTCCGCGGGCAGGTACTCCCTGCGGCGGTCCACCTTGGCCAGCTTGAAGAAGGTCTCCGTGTCGGCGTTGAAGTAGTGCTCCGCGTAGCCCAGACCGCCGATCTTCACCTGCTGGGGGTCGGTCTTCGAGAAGAGGACGCTCTCGCTGCGCAGGTTGAGGTGGGCGATGGCGCGGGTGTGCATGAACTCGAGGCCGGCCAGTACCTGGAGGAGGACGGAGGGCAGCTGCGCCTCCGCCATCTTGGCGGTCTTCACCAGCGCGTCCAGACTGGCGGTGGAGACCTCCTCCATGAAGCAGTACGACTTGCTGGGCGAGATGAAGAAGTGGTGCAGGGCGATGAAGGCGGCGTGTCTGGGCTGGGCCGGGCCGGCTGATGCCGGAGCAGCTCCGGTGCCCGGTCCGCCGTCCATCAGGTATCGCTGGACCTTGCTGCAGGCGGGCAGGTTGGCGCGGTACTTGCTGTGGCGCTCGCTGAGCACCACCACCTTGAGGATGCACTCGCCCCGCGGACAGCTGGCGCGGTAGATGATGTACTCGCGACTGGAGGCGAGCGCCACCTTCTTCACCTGAATGCCCAGCCGGCGGAGGCCGTCCTCGTCGACGATGGTCGGCGTGTCGGGGAAGCGCTTGAACTCCACCAGCTCGCGTTTCAGAAACTGCCGACGGTCCTCCTCGTTCTCCTCGTCGAGCATCCCCTTGGAGAGGGCCTCCTCCAGGCGGGCCACCTCATTGTTGAAGGCCTCCCGACGCGCCTCAATCTGCGCCTTGTGAAAGGCGGTAATGGAGACTATCTTCTGCTCCAGCTTGGCCGCCTTCTCCTTGATCATGTTCTCAATGTCGGTGGCCGTCTTCTCCTCCAGGGCCTTCATCTTGGCGTTGCAGTCCGCCCACAGTTGGTTGCACTTGGTCTTGAAGGCCTCGTCGATGGCGATCTTCTTGCGGGCGATCTCCGCCTCGATGCGCGTCTTGGAGATCTTCATCGTGTCGACGTGAAAGTGCTGCATCTGCTGGGCCCGGTCGGCCAGCTGCCCTTCGAACTTCTTGCGGCGTTCATCCTCCTCGGCGAGAAACTTCTTCAGCGCGTTCTCGTATTCGGCACTCTTGCGAAGGTCATCTCCCATTCTCTTTCAATTTGTGGCAACTGTGACAAGGGTTGTTTTGGCTCGTCAGCAAATGGTTGGTGGTGAATTCAGAGTGAGATCATCTCTACTGTTGGCTGCTGGTAATAATATCACTTGGCATTTGTAGAACTCTATCAGCAGTTCGAACTTTTCAAAAAAATTGAAACTGAATCTTTGAACGGACAAGTGAGCTGAACTGAATCTCTGGTTCTGATTGGCTCAAATTCTGGATCTCGCTCACCTGCTTTTTGTTCCATTCGTGAGCATGCGCAAATGAGGATCCTCCTGGAGAACAGCAGAACAGCAACAAAAGAAGCCGACACCGGTTCTATTTCTCTCACTCTCCGCCGAACTCTTCCCGAAACATCATCAACATAATCTCCCTCATCATCATCTAAACTTTCATTTAACCAAGAATCTTTTTTCTTGAAGATGTTTCTTCAGTTTCCGAACAATCGGGCTCCAAAGAACGGTGACGCTTTCAAAATGCCACTTTGGAGTGCTCAATCAACGTCCAAAGCAGCGTTCGGTCAAACGGCCCTCTTCCAGCCATCATTTGTCAATCCGAGTACAACTCACCCCAGCCATGCAGTAAACAAGACTACTGAAAAGAACAGCAAGTATCTCAACAGCACAAAGGCTTTTGGGGAAAATTACTTTGATGCGCTGGATATACAGAGTCAGTCGGACGAAGCTCCTAAAAATGGTAATACTTCATTTAGTGCACTATTCATATTCGCTAAACTAATGGTTAATTTTAGACAAACCGCCCAAGGTGGACAATCTTTCTAAACTTGAGGAAGATCTAAAGACATTTACCAAAGAGCTTTACAAGCCAAAAAAGCGCAAAGATGATGATCTTTTTGAAAAGGTGGAAATTCTTGAAGAAGAAAAGTTGGAAATGATTAAAGAAAATGATGCTCTTAAGGCTGAAAACGAAAAGCTACAAGTTAGCCTGAACATGCAGAAGATTCACTGTGAAAGTGTTTACAAAGAACTTGAAAGTGTTCATGACACTTTGTCGTCTAACCAAGCTCAACTAGACTCATTCAAAGATGCTCATAACGAGTTTGAAACTTTTAAACGAAAATATCCGCTTCAGCAAACTGAGCTTCGAAATAAGGTCAAGCAAAAGATAGAGAACCTACAATCAGAAAAGGTCGCTTGTCAAATCATGAATCAACGACTGGAGGGAACAAACCAAGAGATGAAGCTATCAATTAAAGGCCTGGAAGGCTCAAACTTGGAGCTTAAATCAACGATTGAAGGTCTAGAAGATGCGAACCAAGAGTTGAAGGCAAAGATTAAAGGCGTTGAAAGTGTCAATCAGGAGATGAAGTTGGCGATTAAAGGCCTAGAAGGTGCGAAACAGGAGATGAAAACAAAGGTTGAAGGCCTGGAAGGAGCAAACCTGGAGATGGGCTTAGAGATTGAAAACCTAGAAGAAGCAAACAAGGCATTGAAGTTGAAGATTGAAGGCCTGGAAAGTGCAAACAATGATTCGAAATCAAAGATGGAAGAGCTGGAAAGTGCAAACCATGAGCTAAATTCAACGATCGAAAGCCTGAAAAACGCAAACGAGGAGTCGAAATCAAAGATTGAAGGCCTGGAAGGCTCAAACTTGGAGCTTAAATCAACGATTGAAGGTCTAGAAGATGCGAACAAGAAAATGAAATCAGAGATTGAAAACTTGGAAGGTGAAAACCTAAAGTTGAAATCTGCTAATGTTGATCTTGAAGAAAAAGCTAATGCTGAACTTCCAGCTACTTGCAAAAGTCCTGTAAAAGGCATTCTCAAAAGTCCCGGCAAGAACGATGTGAAGACTAGTGGGGAAATGAATCCAGTCTCTCCCCGCAACAAGCGCAAACTTTTTATTGCTAGTGACAATGGACCTGGAAAGAGTGTCCGCTTCAATGAACAAAAATTGATTCGCTACGGAAAGAGTGATATCTCAAGCCAGCAAACTGGAAAAAGTGTTGATATGAGTTTCGTTAAAAAGTCGATCTCAGCTGAGCCAAAGCGAGTCTTGACTGTGGTCAACAAAATCCAAGACAAAAAGCCCGAAACGGTCTTTGATACTCTAGATGAGATGGACTGTTTCATGGATGACTTTTAATAACTTTTTCATACTTTTTCGACCATTACCCATTTTCACATTAGTACCTTTTCGACCTAATCCACAATTCCATACTCTTACTTTCATACTTTATCAACTTTATTATCCTTCAAAGTTAGAAACTTTGTGTTCATCAATCACACACTACTACCACATACTAATTTACTTACAATCCTACAACAATGTAGTGTTTACTCTTTTTTCTTCTCAATTTAAAGTTTCTAAAAACGACGACGACGTCTCCGTCTTNACTTTCATACTTTATCAACTTTATTATCCTTCAAAGTTAGAAACTTTGTGTTCATCAATCACACACTACTACCACATACTAATTTACTTACAATCCTACAACAATGTAGTGTTTACTCTTTTTTCTTCTCAATTTAAAGTTTCTAAAAACGACGACGACGTCTCCGTCTTACTTCTTCGAGGTGGATCGCTGCTTCTGCTTTCGACTGCTTGCCACCGTCTTGGTGCTCTTGTTGGACGTGCCCATCGCCTTCTTATTCTTCTTCTTCTTCCTCCTGCTGCCTTTCTTCTTGCTTGAAGTGCTGGCCGGCGTCTTGGTCTTAGTCT